AAGACATGGTCAATATTATAAACAAAGTTATTAAAATATAAAACCACCAGTCTTGTGTTATATGAGTAGTAAATATAATAAATATTGTACACTTGAGCCATTAGTGGTAAATTAGGTGAATATAAACCTGACATATCGGGAGGTGTTTTTGGATAGGTGTCTTAATTTGTTCAGGTGCCTGATAAAATATCATAAACCAGTGGCTTATGAACATCAGGAAAATTTTTCACAATGTTCTGGAGTCTGAAAATCCAAGAGCAGGGAGTCATTATGGTTAGATAAAGACTCCCTTTCTGATTCCAGATTTCTCATTGAATTCTTACATGGTGGGCAGGATCCTTTTTCTAAAAGGCACTAAACTTATTCATAAAACTTTTCTCTGATTTCCTTCTTAAAGGCCCACCTCTAATTCCTTCAGGATTAGAATGTCAACATTTGATTTTGGGAGAAAAGCCAATCATCAGACTATATCAATAGGGAATAAAGACTGATTTCAAGATGCCTCTTACTGAGGTTTGTCTCTAACACTGAAACTCATAATTATTTTGTTACTAGACATAAATAATAATTGATTCATCTTCAATATGGGGGATCACACCCACTTCACTGTCTTGTTGGCAAGATAGGATAGAAAAATGAATAGAAAGCAAGCAGCAACTTCATAATACAAAAGACATTAACAGAGACAAGACGTAAATCCAGTAATTCTAATTGGACTGTATTCATAAAAAAAGATGTTGATTTTCCAATAAGAGGAGCTTAAGACTATTGAATTGTTTGGTTGTTATACATTTTATAATGCAAATTGTTTGCTGTTTACCCGGTGCTAACATCTTAATATTTATTAACTAATTAATTTCTCACAGCAACCTGACGAGATATTTGTTCTTCTATTATCTATATGGAGAATTAGACACAGAATGTTAAATAACTTGCCAAAAATAGACACAGGGCATAGCTACAGAAACTCTGAACAAAGGTGTCCTTGTTCTTAATTATAGAGTTGATTATAGACTATTTGTGATATGTCTTCTAAATTACATTCCTGGGTCATATTAGAACCTTCTTTACCCACTGTTCTCAAACCTGCCCAACACATACGCTGCTCTTGGTCTCTGCCCTTTGCCTGGAAACTTCTTGCTCCAAATAGACAGAAAGCATACCTTTTTCTTTCCTTCTATTTTTCATGTAAACAGCACCTTTCTTAACTACCTTACTCTTGCTGTCTTCTGTGCTGATGTGTATGCGCATGTGTATTGTAGTAGCGATTATTTTTCTTCATATCATAATGTAGATTTTCTGGTATATTTTGTCCCATATTATGATAAACTGTCTAAAAGCATTGTCTGGTATGTTGCAGACACTTAAAAAATATGAATGAATAGGTAGTCATGAGGCAGATGTTATGCTAAAGCTTTGTCCATAAAATCTCATTTCCTCTCAAAACAGTCCTTCTAGACATATATATCATTATCCCACATTTAACACATAGAGAAACAGATTCAGATATGTGAAATAAACTTAACAGATGCACATAAATACCAGATATCTGAGATAGTATTGAATTCAGGTCCATATGACTTTAGAATTCCCACTGTTTCCATTATACTGTTGCTTTTCTAATTATTTCTGAAGTCAGAAAAAAATACGATTTTTTTTTCTCAAATGCAAGCTGCAACTTTAGCATGACAAAATGTTTTAGTGTAAGGTATCCATTAAACTAAATCTGTAGTATTACAAGGATGTAACTTCATACCATTATAATCAAAGCCTTGATTGTTTTTCTAATATACTTTCATCCCTCTTAATAACTCTATTGAGATATGCAATTTAAGTTCTTCATTAAAAAATAGTGTGCAATTTTTTGAAGTTAGAGATGTTAGGAAGTGCCTTTATCTTTAACTCTCTGAGCCCCAGGGCCAAGTCAAAATTGTAAGCCTTTTTAAAAACAAAATTGAAATCTGCTCCATAAGAAATCACATTTATCTCTATCCCATTCCAAAAAGATTACAATGAATGCTCATCTTTTTGTCCTTGCAATTTTATTTTGTACATTTTTTTTTCTGTTATTGGAGAATAGAACCATATAATTATTCTGGGACTTTCTTATAAATGTCTGATTACTTGACTCAAACTCAGTATTAGGAACACCGTATTATCATCTTTTTAGCACTAGACTGCACCTTCCCTTTAAGAAAATAGTCATGTGATAAGTGCAGGAGTGCTTTGATTCAAAGGATTTTTGTGACTATAATAGATAGGAGATGGAAGGTATACAAATGCTTTGAAATAACTTATCCATTATTTCCAGTAAAATTTCTAAGCTCGGGCCCTCCCTGGTGGCACAGCGGGTTAAAGCACA